GCGAGGCGACGATGCTAACCACAAGTCACCTTGCAGTCCTCGTTTAAAATATCAAGACCAAATAATCAATTACCAGTTATTCATAAACACCTGTAGTTCCACGTTTTTGTTAAACCACCAGGGAAACAGAGTTCCGGATTGTGGAAAACACATGAAAATTTAAATATAAATGAATGATGGTATTTTTTTTTTGTTTGGCAAGTGACCACGATATAAGCACTTTATTACCATTTAAACATTAATTGCTGCTTATTGACACCTCATTGGGCATTAAGCCTTGATCATACTACTTGACAATATTAAATTACATCAGAAAAGAATTCAAATGCACACCCATTAACCGCATTGCATAAAGCAAGTTTATAAACATTGCTGCTTATTTAAATGGGAGGGGGTGTTATGGAGGCCAGTGACAGCAGGAAAACATTCATCATCCTGGATTTGGCTTGTGCTCTGAGTTCCTGTTGGACAATGTCAAAGTAAATGATCTGGTCTGCCTTCCCAGTCATAAACACCAGTGGCATAGAGGAGAAACAGATGGGCCTCTCTGTCAGATCCCTGTCCTTCCTCCTCTTACCCATGTTTCCATCCACCGTAAGCCCTAAGTGGGTCCTGGTGTGAACTGTCTTTTAACACCATTTATCCTCTTCCCACTCTGCCTGCTTCTTCTGAAGTCACTCCTCAACTCTCCATCTTCCTAACTCCCTCATTCACACACACACACACATAACACGTCGTCCTTCACCATGAAAAAACACAAACACACACACCATCTCCCTCTCTGCAGTGTGTCCTGCCGGATAGCGGTCTGTTGTGTACAGTACAGTCATCTGTTTATGAGTCACTGACCACCGCCGACATACTGCACCTCGCTGTCAGTGTGTTTTCCTGCTTGAGCTCACTGTATATTTATTCGGGAGGAAACTGAGGGATGGCAAACAACACAAAATGTACAGTAAGTGTGCAAACTGTGCAGCTGCAAACTTTACGGGGTGAGATGTGGAATTTCAGACAGAAAGAGAATCACGGGAGGCAGCGTAATGAATTCATGGATGGAGTCGCGGTGGAACAGATGGAGGGTTTGGAAAAATCGGCACTTACATCGCCTGGCGTAACCCCGTGTGCACTCCTGCTTTTCTTCATCCTGAGGGATGCTCGGCCAGACTCCCTCTCACTCTCGGTGTCAGATCGTCTGTCCGAAAACGCAGCTCTTTCCTGCTTCTCCGCCTCGCCAGTATGCCTGCACATGGAATCGGGGGAGGTGAGACAACGTTAAAGTAACCAATTCCAAAAAGACATTCCGCCTCCCTCACAATGAATTTGTCTGCAGTTGTTGTCCGACTGGTCTTGTTTTGACCGACTATACTGTGAACATGCAGTGAATTACACAACTTTAAAAATAAGGCAGACATTACATAAACTGTGATGGATCAGCAGTTACAAGTTTGGACAAGTGAATCAATCACACGGCGATACACATCGAAGGCACATAAAGTAAAAAGGTGCAAAATAGGACACTGCACTTAGTTTGGGAAACATTTTTATCTGTTAGTGTTTAGGGATGGCAATGTCAGTGTGTCAGTCCATCAACTTGGTCCACACTGAAATATCTGAAGAACAATGGGGTTGCTATGAACTTCTGTACATCCAAATTTCACAGAATAAGAAGCCAATGATGTTCCCCTGACTTCTCCTTTAGCACCACCATGAGGTTGACAGTCCTAGTTTCAAGTGGAAATCTTTGCCACCTATTGGATGGATACTGTGGTACAGACATTTCACCACATCCATCCATCCATTATCTATACACTGCTTCACCCTCACTAGGGTCATGGGAGGCTGGAGTCTATCACCCTGGACAGGTAGCCAGTCTATCACAGGGCTACACTTAGAGACAGACAACCAAGCACACTCACATTCACACCTATGGACAATTTAGAATCACCAATTAACCTCAACATGTTTTTTGGACCTTGTGGGAGGAAACCGGAGAACCCGGAGAGAACCCACACTGCACGGGGAGAACATGGAGATTCCACACAAAAAGATGCCGGGTGTCCTCACCAGGACGTGAACCGGCGACCTTCTAGCTGCGAGGCAACAGTGCTAACGACCGCACCACCTTGCAGCCCACTTAAATATGTAAAATAATATATAAATATTTTGGTTAATGAACAAATTGGATTTTCCTTCATGTTAGTGGCTAATTCGCAAATGTTAAAATGGTTACAAGCTAAATAAGGTTGCCTAACATTATACTTGCAAAGCATGTTAGCATTGTTAGCATGCTGATGTCAACACTTAATTCCCAGCACCACTGTGCCTAAGTCTAACAGGGTAGACCGATTTGTCCCTGTACCCATACCACCATTCTAAACAGCAAGCCAGAAAAAACGCTGTATGTCCCATTAGATAGAACACCCAAAACACCAGGAAGTCCGACTGCATCTGGTTGCATTTTGCAGTATGACAGCCAGCATGCTTGTCAGAGCCATTTGAACCCACAAACCTCAAAGCAGTAACAGACACGTCACACACGTCAGCGTTTCGCATGAACGTAAACAAGCTTCAACCACCAGCAGCACACAGACAGATGACGCTCAGTTTACGTTGCAGACTGTGACGGATGTATGAGCACGACGGTCAAAGCTTAGGGCGCAACATTATAATGGAGTAGTATGTCCCAACGGAGTGCATGTAACAGTGAGCGCATTGTAAGGGCAGCTGCAGTACGTACTTCAAGAGAACACAGCCTGACTTTTTAAATGTCTAAACACAAGCTGACGAACGAAAATTTGAAAGAAAACATTTAAAATCTGCAATGCCCTTCAACCCCGTTTTGTTTAATGGCATAACACTGTTGGAATGATTTACTGCCTCTAGAGCTGTGTGTGTGTGTATGTGTGCTTGAAGGTGTTTTAATCCAGTCCCATGTGTCAGGCAACTGTAGACTCATCAATTATAGAATGACCACAGCTGGCGGAAAATCACCACAAGGCTGACATGAGTGACTAATCTATGTGACAGACACGAATCGATATTTTCCGTGTCACCATTGATCCCCACTGAGTTCCACCCGCGTTACCTCCTGTTTGGCAGGCGGTGTGTCCTTGCGTTAAAGTCAGCGCAGAACTGCTGTTAAAGGAGACTGCTTTTGGTGCTCTCCAGCTGCTGCCGAGTCAAGTGGCACCAAAAGAGAATTTCTCAGCTCCCAACAACCTAACCTTGCTTGTAGCCTTGAAAAACAAATACGTGTGGTGTGAAAGTGGCTTCACGCTGCCCTCAGTTACTGTGGGAAAAAAAACGACAAGAGGTGAAACGGCAGCAGATCATTCAGGGACTCGGTGTTTTAAGCATTTGTAGGATGACTTAATAACCAGCTGCTGGTTCAGTTCTCAGCAGGCAGTTCTCAATAATGTATGTGTTAGCATACATGTGACCATTAAAAGTTTCTGAAGAACACCGCTCAGATCCCTGACACTTCTTGGTATGAATGTTTCTGGTATATTCTCTAATGATTGCTGGCTTTTTTCGACATATTTAAATAAGCAAACAATTAATTCTCTTTGAAACTGTGCCTACAGATAAAGATGGCACATGTGAACAACACCTCAACCATAATTAGCTTTTTAAATCATTTATTTAACTCAAAGATCAAGAGACGTAGGATTCATCTGTGGAATCTAGTGGGAGAAAAATCATTTTGCATAATCGTCAACCGTCCTCTGACATCGGCTTGCTGAAAGTTTTCACTCTTCCATGCAAAATTCCTTCAGTTGCAAGATGTTTGAGGGTTTTCTTGTATGTATGTACTGCCCTGTTTCAGATGCCCTCGCAACATTTCAGTGGGAACAAATCTGGGCTTTGACAGGGCCGCTCCATGGCGCTTCATTTCTTTCTTCCTTGATGGATTTGCTTGTGTGCTTTGAATCCAGGTGAACCCACCGCTGGTTCATCTTCAGGTTTCTCATGGAACTTTTCGACATGATGCTGAATTACCAGTTCAGTCAATGACTGAAAGTTGCCCAGTTCCTCAGGCGAGTCCAAACTATAAAATCTCCATCACCCTGTTTTATAGTTGGCAGTTTTGCTCAAATGTTCCTTTGGACAGCAAATGCTTTTTCCTGGCACACCTCCTCTGCAGGTCACATCTGTGCTTTCTCTGCGATTGTAGACGCAGCACTTTGACACCAACAGTTAAAAAGAGTTACCTGCATATTTTGTGATGAAACTCTGGGGTTCTTTCAGACTTCTTTTTGCACAAGATGCTGTGCTCTTGCTCTGAATTTGCAGGGGCGGCCAGTCCTGGACAAATTGGCAGGCATTTGAGAGCTAAGCCACTTGTATATGATTTTCCTCACAGGAGAGTGATTTATTTCAGATACTTTGGAGATCTTTTTAAATCTCTTGGCAGACTCATAGACATCCATAACCTTGAAGAGCTCTTAAAATCTTGGCATGATGACAAAACCCACTTCAATAGGAAAGAGAACAGCGGAGCTTTGATGTCAGAGGTTTAACTGCGACATGTTCCACTCGTCACTCCCAAAGGAG